AGTCCAATCACTAATTTCAATTTGATTTTCTTCCCATGTGAAAAAATTTAATCAATTTATAATCTGAGAAACACTCACAATCCTTACCCTGTGGGTTATATACCAGGGGTCTTACATCGGCACGCAACTAGCTAGACACTTTTTGGCCATTTTGACATTTTTGGGGAAAAGAGCAATAGTGAGACAACGAAAAGGGTAAGTGACTCCCAGTGGGGACATTGGCCACAAGTAGAATACGAAGTTCATACCAGGAATGATCGACTGAGTTCTTGCCATTCCATGTTTCGACTTTACCAAGATCTTTGGGATTATCCACTCCGTCATGGATCTCATAGACGCCATCAGCCGTGTTGTTCACCTTCAACAAATCGGATGAAGCCAAAACCAAAACCAGAACGAAATGGAAAAAGAACCTCATAGAACATTCCAATACGATCGGGTAAGTCGAGTATCGAATCACACACAAAGTTCATGAATGGGATTTCGCAGACCTGAATGACACATCGTTTCATACGGATCATGCTATGATTTCTACATGCTAATTTATTCTGCAAACACATTGCAACCTAACAAGGAAGGCATCAGCTTAACGGATTAAATTTTCAGGAAGGTATAGCCAGCATAAATGCAGTGGCGTAATGGCAGCTTGAAGAAGAAAGAACAGCTTTGGCGCCTCCATAATGGGATCTTGGAGCATTTCACAAGGACCCTACAAACCCTCACCGGTTGAAGCTTTTGGTCCAGGAGTATTCCCTACGATAAATTTTTACCGTTCCGTACCTAAATCTATATCTCCACTGCTTGCCCTTTTACCCATATCCTTACCCGGAAACCTTTCCTGGACATACCCTTACACATAGACCTACTACGTGGAATTTGCAACTAGTGGTGAGCAGGTCAATAATAAAAAATATCGAAAATTCTAGGAAATTTGAAATGAAAATAATGGGCCTTGGAGCGCAGAATATCAAAGTTGAATAGATTTAGGAGCTTCAGTTGTTGAATAAGTGCATTTCTTATAGGCACGAATTGAATCTGAAGGATGACGGCAAATATTAAACAGATGTCNNNCCTCTGGAAGTTGGAATTGCAATTTCTGCATGGCTAGACGAGCTGATTCTTTAGATAATCTTATTAAAAGCCAAAAACACTTGATTTTCGCCAGTCAAAAACGAGAAAAACCTGTTTTTGAGTTATTCGCTTGAATTTTCAAACTCTTTCTTCGGTTACTGTATACCGGACGAATCGAAACTTTACAAAAAAAAGTTGAGAAAGATCAAAACCGTGTACATGATATCAAAAAAAAAAATGGAATTAAAGGATGTATAATGCGAAAAGGGAAAATGTGGGAGAAAAGGAAAAACAGTCCAGATTTTAAAAAGTCACCTGATAGATCATATTGGGAATCCATATCCGATTCCCTAATGCACATGTGGAACAGGATTCAGTCTCGTTGAAAACGTAGGTGAGTATTCGTTTAAACTTCACTATGCCGTTTTCATGTGAGATCACCTTAAAAGTACTTACCATTCAGTGCTCAAATTGAAAATAAAGAAATGTCCTCACTATAACATACACTATATATGGGGGTTGGGGTTGGGTTACGCATTCATACATGTAGCAGTTACGTTCGGGAAAAAATCATAAAATCACCTGAATCGCAGTGGTCTTAGCGGTTTCTATGCATGTCAAACCACGACATCACTATTATAAAACTGAGAAAACAGAAAGTGATTTTTCATTTTTTCT